CTGCTTCTCCCTCTGACCCTCTCCCCTCTCATGTGCTCTCTGTCTCTCTCATTCTCTCTGTCTCAGATAAATAAATAAAATCTTTAAAAAAAAAAAAAAGTTACATCCCTCCAATAAGACCTGAAAGCAGAAATAGTTGAGTTTTTGTGCCATACTCAATAACATTCATTCAATATCATGCTTTTTTTCTTGCTTTTGGCTTTATACTATTTGCAGAGATAATGTATTTAGACAATTTTTTTTCCTTCAACTTTGTTTTCCATCTGAGCTTTTATATGTTAAATGACTGCAGTCTGTATAGGTAAAGTTAACTGGATCTTTTGAAAACATGAGGTAGTTATTTAATGCCGGGTAGAATTGGCCAACTAATTATGGAGCAAATTCTTGATAATAGAGTTTTAGAAATGTTTTATCCTTTCTAGTTCACAGAAGCTAGAGGAATTATGGAATGTATATTTAGAAAAGATTAATTAAATGCTATAAAATCAAAACCATAATCATTGTCATGCTAGGGCATATTTTTAGGTACTAGCATATCATTGGTTCATTCCATTCAGGGCTACAGTTCCCTTCAACAAGGAAGTTAAAGAATATTTGAATAATTACTACTGAGAAGCAGAAGGAAGAAGGCAAGCATTTGATGGTGAAGCCAAGTTCAGATTTTAAAAGAGCAAGTGGAAAATACAGCCTTAAACTGGGATCAAGACATGTTGCAGAAACAGTTTATAGAACATACATTGAAATTTATAGCAAATTTATAGAAAGAAGGAACAAGTATTCTTTCTTATAGGGAAGAAGAAATGTAAAGATGTAAAAGGTTGACACTAAAAAATAGTGGAAGAGTTAAAAGAAAAAATGTTTGAATATAAGGAGAAAGTTTTCAAAATTATACCGTCACCCATTTAAAAATTTATGAGGGGAGAGAAGGGAAAATGAGAGGGAGTGGGAAAAGGAGAGTGAGAATGAATGCATGCGTGAATCAATGGGTGAATGATTATGAAAATGAATAGGCAGGTGGGTCAACTTTTAACCTCATTTGACTATTCTCATATGGCTCCTCAGTAGTAACTTTAAGAATATGATGTTTATTTGCTGAAGAAGTGAATTTATCTGTAATGGGAACATTGCATCATGGCTTGTATGGAAGGAGAGAAAAATGGTTTCGTGTTTATAAACATGGCTTTAAAAATGTAAGTGGTCAGTTATTTAGACTCAAACATTTTTTGAAACTACAAAATACTACGTTCTTCTCATGTATTGTAGAAGTACTAACTAAATGTTATAGTGAAAGCTTGCTTTTGTGTTTTGAGTACTGTAAGAACTAGTGAGGTTAGAAGAGTTTCAATTCAATTATGTTGTGTAGAATTAATAGAGTTGAGTATTGCTCTGTTTAGTTTAATGATTGAATTATAACGTTGCAGTTAATGTTTTGGAAATACTAGCTATCTAATTGGCAGTATGCATCTTACTTCTGTAAGAATAAAATGAGTCATTGTGGTCTGTTGTGTTCGTATGAATGGTACCTATTCCCAATCAACCTATGTGGCAAATTTATAGGTATAAAAAATGTCAGTAGCTGTAAAGCAAATTAAAATATTTAGAGAAAAGTTCCTAAATATCACATTGGTTCAACAAATATTTATTAAATGCTTAGTTATTCCAGGAATTACACTCTTTGCTGGGAGTACAAAGATAAAAAAAAAAAAAACACCCAGTTTCTGCCTTCAAGTTAGCATTGAGTTTAGGGGAGATGGATTTATCAGATAGTTTTAGTTTAAGTGCTATAATATAGGAATTAATATGGAAGAATTGAATGCAGATAGTAATTTCTAAATAAGATGTTTCAGGGGGAAATTTGAAGGTAAATCGGAAGGATTAAGAGTTAACCAGATAATGGAGCGCCAGGGTCGCTCAGTCGTTAAGCGTCTGTTAAGCGTCTGCCTTCGGCTCAGGTCATGATCCCAGGGTCCTAGGATCGAGCCCCACATCGGGCTCCCTGCTCGGCGGGAAGCCTGCTTCTCCCTCTCCCTCTCCCCCTGCTTGTGTTCCTGCTCTCGCTATCTCTCTCTCTGTGTCAAATAAATAAATAAATCTTAAAAAAAAAAAGTTAACCAGATAAGGATTTGGGTGGGGTGGGTGGGATGAGATGGGGTGAGGGTTATTAGAGGGAGAGGGTGGTGAAGATCACCGCATTCTAGGCAGAAGAGCATCATGAACAAAGTAATGGAAACGTGTAATAGCATAGTGTATGTAGGAAAACTACAAACAACCTTGCAGTATTAAAGCATTCTTTGAAGGCTAGTTAATATACACCAGGCTTAATGTGCATGATCACACTTAAACCAGACAACATTCTTTTGAGGCCTATAATCACATATCCTTATTCTACCTCCATGATTCTACTCTGATGGCATGATCTTAGCAGTATATGTCATTAAAAATTGAATGGAGGCTCATTACAGTGTAGAAATATCACTGGAAGGAGAGTCAACGCTCTACCTAGAGACTGCCAAAGGTGGCACTACCATACTCTTAGGCCTGGCTGTGAGGTGTACAGATACAGACACTCAATCTTGTTGGCATTTCAGAGTTGATTCTACTTGGGGGATGCAGATTCATGCTAACCACATTTGTAGGAGACTATAATTTAGCCAGAATGTTTTGAGGCTGTAGAAACCTAGCCTAGCATATGTGAGCAGTGCTTAGGGGTTTTGATGGAAACAAACACTATGAGTCAGCAGAATGATACGCTGGCCAATAAGGTCATAAAATCAGAGGCTGAATTAATAGAGGTAATGTATTTCAAGATGACGGAGGTGGCAGTCCTTTCCTTCCTTGCATTTATCAAACCACAGCATATTTGAGAGAAATAAATATGGACACTAAGCCATGTCAAATGAAAATAAGTTGAAGCAGGTAGGTATACTTTAGACTGAAAGAGAGAATGATGCCTTCAAATAACATAATGGTTCTTGAGTTTATTAACCTCATATAGTCTGATTACCATCTCTCTTAGTTTAGACTCTTATCACTAGTTGCTTAAATTACTTCAGTAGCCCAAATTATTGAACATAAGGGAATCCGTTCTGGCTAGTTATAGATAGAGATACTAGGTAGTTCTTGAAGATACTAAGTAGCTCTTGAATTGGGAGAGTTGCAGAAACAGGCCTCAGATAATATCACAGGAATAACTTCCAGAACCACACAACTGAAATTTGGTCCAATGTAGGAGCTGTTGCCATCCCAGAACCACTTGGTCGAACTGTCATAATGAAAAACATGCAGAGGCTGCCATCAGTTGTGTAACCATATCTCCTGTATTGCCACCCATGCCAGCAGAATGGATCGCTTACTTGTGGTCTGCTTCTTTACATCGTTCATTTCTGAATCAACACATCCTATAAATGCATTAAGCCATATGTCTGTACTCTAGTTATAAGGGAGTCTGACAAATGTATTTTTTATGGATTTTTCCTTGGTTAGGTGGGACTGACATTGTGAGGATGTATTAAAATGTAGAGAGCATGTTTAAATGCTCTTGAGCAGCCAAATATGACAGAAGACATGATGGTTTCCTTGCTAGTCTCCTTGACCTGACTAAGATTTTTCTCTTCCTTTAAGACCCAAATCTTGGTAAAGACTTCTCTGATCTTTCCATCTATCCTCTGTGTTCCCAAAGCATCATATACATGCCTCTGTTAACGATTGTTTGCATATATGTTTTGCTATATATATGCATATATAGACCATGAATTATTTATTTTTATTTAACAAAGATAGCATTTACTAAGTATCAGGCATTGTTCTAAGTGCTTCATAAAGAATTCATTTAACTTGTGGGTACAAGCTCTCTTTCAATTTGCACCCCCCTAGCCAGCCTAGCATACTCCTTGGTGCATGGCACATGTCCAGTAAATAAGTGATTCGATATTTAGGAAGTAGGGAAGAAAAAATAATGACATAGTCTTGCCACTTTAACTCACTATTATATTTTGTTGCACATTTAGTCTTCCAAAGAAAAATTTGGGAAAAATTAAACTTCCCTAATATGGGATGGGCTGCCTGTGAGATAGTAGGTTTTCTGTTAGTCAACTCCAAGCATAGATGAGCATCTGTGGACTACATTAAAAGTGCTATCCAGCCTTGTTTCTCTGATTCTGCTTTGACTAAACAATGTTAGATCTAGCCTATGAGAGAGAGAGGGGAAAAAAGATGTCTTCTGTCTTCAAGACAGAAGGCGATATTCAAATGAGAATTAAGGAATAAGATAGGAAAGATAGGGGTAGAGACCGTGACGGAGGTGGTTAGTAAGGAGGATCCTTTGTATATATAAACAAAATTTATAGGTATTGACTGTGAACAAATCAGAGGAGTCACTGCAATTCATGCAAATATAGATCAAGAGATTCTTGCTGTCAATGAAGTTAGTATTCTATAGATAGATGCAGCTTGATTTCTTTTCATGGATCCTTTTCCCCCCTCACATTCTTACAGATGAGTCTTTAAAATGTTGATATTTTTTTTGCTCATTACTTTCCTTGATTAAAAAAAATAGTAATGACCAGAATTAAGAGAATAAAAGGATAAAAATACTGATTTTTAAAAAATTGAAATACAGCTCACATACCATAAAATTCACTGTCAAAATATACACTTCAGTGTTTTTTAGTATATTCAAAGAGATACGAAACTATCACAACAATCAACTTTAGAACATTTTTATCACTTCAATAAAGCACCATACCTATCAGCAGTCACACCCTAATCCTCCCATTCCCCCTCCCCTGCCCCTGGCAACCACTAATCTATTTTCTGTCTCTATATTCCAATTCTGGGCATTTAGTATAAATGGAATCATAATATGTGGTCTTTTGTGACTGGTTTCTTTCACTTAGCATAATGTGGTTTCAAGTTTCATTCATGCTATAGTATTTATCAGTACTTCATTCTTCTTTATGACTGAATATTCCATTGTCTGGACATACCATATTTGTTTATGTATTCATTTGATGAACATTTGGATTGTTTCCTCTCTTTGATGCTACTGCTATGAACATTCATGTACAAATTTTTGTGTGGACATAATGTCTTCATTATTTTAATTATAAGCTGGGTCGTGTGACAACTTTCTGTGTAACTTTCTGAGGAACTGCTAGACTATTTTCCGAAGTGGTTGCATCATTTCACATTCTCACCAGCAATGTGTGAAGGTTCCAGTTTCTCCATATCCTCACCAATATTTGTTATTACCATTTTTTTTTTGTATCCTAGCCATCCTAGTGGGAGTGAGGTGGTATCTCATTTGTGGTTTTGATTTTCATTTCTCTAATGAATAATGATGTTGAACATTATGTGCTTACCAGCCATTTGTATATCTTCTTTAGAGAAATATCTATTCAAATCCTTTGCCCATTTGTATTTGGGTTGTCTTTTCATTGTTGATTTGTGAGAGTTCTTTATATATTCTGGATTCAAGTCCCTTATCAGACATGATTTGGAAACATTTTAACCCATTCTGTAAATTGTCCTTTCATTTGATGTTGCTTTTTTTTAAAGATTTATTTGAGAAAGAGAGCATATGAGTGGGGGGAGGAACAGAGGGAGAGAGAATCTCAAGCACACTCCCTGCTGAGCACAGAGCCTGATGCAGGGCTTGATCTCATAACCCTGAGATCATGACCGAAGCTGAAATCAAGGTTGTATGCTCAATGACTGAGCCACCCAGGTGCCCCTGATGTTGCTTTTTGAATCATAGTCATTTCCAACTTGGTTTTGTGACCCCTCATGAGTGTCTTAAAATGTTGTAAGGGTTAATATGAGTTTAAAAGTGAAGAAAAACAATTTTTCTAGTGAAAATGTTATATGTGTGTGTATCACATAATAAAGATTCCCAGCCAAATCAAAGCTTATTGAACCTTAAAACAATGTATTCTTGCAACTGAATATTTTTTCCTCCAATGAGTAATTTTTGTCATCCCAGCACAGCTGATTATATTTCTGGTATTTTTTTTGCTTTCCAAATCCAGCAACTTCTCAAGAATTTTTCTTCAGTGACATATTATAGATATATATTTCCTGTTAGTTTAAAAATCATATTTGTTCTTCTAGATAATAGTGATCCTAAGGGAGAATATGCGAAATAGTAAAGTGTTTGTTTATTTTTGCTATCAGGGTAAGTTAATATCTGTGCTAAGGTTATCTGATGTATGCTGCAAAACTGCCAGTTTATTCTGTGGAATAGTTTAAAATTTTTTCTTTCTGCTCATTAGTTGACTCTGTAGAGATACGAACCATGAATATATAGTAAAATTTATACAGTGTTATGGTATCTGGAGTGAAAAATAATAGTGAAGGATCCACCAGAATGATCATTGTTGTTAGTCACAGCATGACTTACTATTTTAAAAGAGAATATTAGTATTTATTAATCACTTTTGAAAGTCAAGCAGAAATTTGTAAATGCTCACAACAGATGTTCTTTCTAACAGGAGGACATGAACCTTAATGAAGAACGAAAAGCTCCTTTACGAAACAAAGATTTTACCACCAAGCGTGAGATGGTTGTCCAGTATATTTCTGCTACTGCCAAATCTGTAAGTAGTGACACTTTCCCGACACTACCATAATGAGTTCAGCATTATCTGTGCAAAAATACTAGACAGGAGCTTTAACCAGCTAAGCCACGGAGCCAAGTACATCTGCGCAAAAATAAACCTCAGATCTTCAAGTTCTTGCCTCACTATTCTCATATAGCCTATTCAGAAAAAAATTTATATGTGTATTTTTACACATTAGTATGTACTTAAAACTGCTTATAATTAGACTTTCATTATTTTAAACAATACAGACTAAGTATAGAAGGCTCTGAGTTAATCCAGTGAGTTTTGGGGCAGTGGTTTTGTGCATGTCCTAAATTGTAGATATTCCACTAAATATACTGTTTGTTGTATGAAACTTTTGAATTTTGAGGGAGAAGACACAAACATAGGCTAGTCACAAGTTTAGTTTCTATTGAAGCTTTATGTTTAGTTTCTCTTGCATGAAATTTTTAGCAATATTTTTAATATGCTGTTTTAGTTTTTTTTCCCATTGTTTTATGTGATGCTAACTATATAAATTACCTCATAATTATTATTGTACAGCTTAATTTAGTATAAAAGAGGGTACTTAATAGAAGGAGCTTTAATGAAATCTGTGTGAGTTTCAAAAGACTTGAAAGTAGAGTTCTGTGGAAAGACTTTTCTTCAGCAGGAAAAACTAGTGTTTTAATGGGATATATGGCTTTGTTCACTTCCTAAGGTGCTTCCAAAAATAGACTTCAGGTTTGATTTCTTTTTGCAAGAAAAAAGTGTATTTTTAAAATGATGAAATGTATCTTTTACATTTCTCTAAGGAAAAAGCTTTATACAACTAGACTTCATAAAATCACTATGTATATATATTATGTGTGTGTAGACACATATACCACATATTTTTTATATATATGTGTGTGTGTGTGTATATATATACACACACACACACACACAAATACATTGATTTTATGTGTGTGGTATGTATATTATGTATGTGTATATAAATAATACACATGCATTTACATGTAAAAAATCCATATTTTAAATTTAAAAAGTTAACCAGTAAAGAAAATAGTTCCTCTTTGGAAAATATGTTCTAAAATTATTTGGCTATCCTATTACTGATATTTTTTATTTTGCCCTGAATTCTACAATTGTATTGATTCCATATTGTAGTTTAAGCAAGCTAAATCTGAATGCTGAACTATTTAAACATAATGCATTCCATCTCTGCCAGAGCAGAGCAACAGCATGTTTTTTAATTTGCTTCTGGTATCCAAGGGCAGAAATATGTTTCAAGTGATAAGTGAAATTTGCCATGAGCGTTGTTTTCAATGGAATTTGGTGATGCAGAGGGTTTTACTTTGAAATTGTGATGAATCTCTTCTCATTTTTGCACTCAAGTTATTGTTCACAGTAAAATGCTTTAGGAAATTCAGAGTGTACATTTAGTGTTATTTTTCAAATACCTAAAGGCAAATACACTAGTAAATCTATATAACTAAATCTGAATGCAAAGTACAGATAATATATGAATAATCATGTGTTTTTAATGATAAGATTTTGTTAGTGTTTTTGGCTCATTTATTGTTTTTGTTTGTGTAAGTGGGACTGAATATAATGAAGATTATACAGAGCTCTTATTCTATAACCTTTTTATTTTTACTCCATGTAGAACTTGTTTTTATTCTCATATTGTTTCCTCTTCAACTGACCAAAGACATACACATTTAGGTTATATACTCATTTTTCACATTAAAGTGCTAAAATTTGGGTAAATGTTGGAGGATCTCTCTTGAATTGCTTTATTTGAAAGATGGAAATTGAATGTTTCTCAAAAGACATGAAAATTCTGTTTCAGGCATTAGCCTCAAAATCAATACTGTAACTATTTAGTATGTGACCCTTATTTGTTTCATTCAGCGTACATATGAGCACCTGACATGCATATAGCTCTTTCATTAGATTTTCAAGAGTATACATTTTATTTCCTAATATTTTTGCATGGACCAAATGTTACAATGAAAGAAAGCCTGTTGATAAACATGTTTTAAAGCTTTCTTACCTTGGGGAGACATTAATTAGTACTGTGTTTTCTGTTGATAAAACCAAGAAAATTGCTTATGTACTTATGAGGGTGAGAGGGATGCCATTTAATGACAGACAATCCTCTTATCTTTGACCTCTTCATGATCAATAATATTTGCATAAACTGTAGGTTAACATATGGCTGTTTACCTATGTGTAACCAAGGTTTCCATCCTGCTGTCTTTCAGTAGGCTTTAGACATGTTGTATATCTTCTACTTTTTAGGCTTACTTTTTCATTATATTGATACACTGATTAAAAATGTTTCTTTGTTGGGGCACCTGGGTGGCTCAGTCAGTTAAGCGGTCAAGTGTCTGACTCTTGGTTTTGGCTCAGGTCATGATCTCAGGGTTGTGAGATTGAGCCTGGCATCCAGCTTCACACTCAGTGTGGAGTCCGCTTGAGATTCTCTCTCTCCCTCTGCCCCTCCTCCCACTGGCTCGTGCATGTACTCTCTCTCTTTAAAATAAATAAATCTTAAAAAAAGTTTCTTCATTTAAAGTAGATATGATTGTAATCACTTCTTTATGAAAATACTTTATAAGTAGTCAAAACTTTAATCTTGAAGTAAAAACAAAGTTAAGGGCTAGTGTTCCTGATGGAGAATGTTTTATAGTCACATATAAAACGTGAGAATTATAGTTAAATTTAAACGTAAATTGTACATTTCCCCCTTTAACACCTGCATAAGTCATTTTGCATAGAATTGAAAAACAAACAAAATATGAACTCAGTAAGAAATGTCCATCATTCTCCTGGGTTCCTGGGTAAAAACAATAAAGCAAGATGAAACTAATATACAGGTATTTGCTCAAAACCTGTTTCTAAAGCAAACAAGCCTTTTTTTATGTACTTTGCTAAAATAAGCATGGAATAAAAATATATAGGAAACTGAAAGATAATGAAAACTGTTGCTTAGTTTTTTCTTGTTAAAGTTCCATAACAGAGAATATTAAATTGTATGAATGTTAAAGGAAAAAGCTTGAATAACTCTGTCAGTGATGAATGAATTTTAAATAAGGGAATGGAGAAGAACCTCTTCTCTGCACAAGCTGGACTCATTTGCTCATTATAGCAAGTGTGGTTATGGACCTGACCTATAGTAGTTGGTACATGTTGATAATTTGGCCACAAATAATCTGGAAGAATTTATATTTTCAAAACACCAGCATATATTTTCAGAAATGGAAAACCAAGCTTTGTTAATATTGCTAACATTGTCATACCCATTCATAATCCTGAAAGAGGCACAATATATCAGTGATTTAGGGGGTCTTGTATGTTCTATCTTAACAGCCTATATAGACATTCATGAGGAAAAATTAGTCACTGAAATCCTAACATTAGTTTGCCAAAAGCCAGTGTCTTTATTAGAATTTTAAGAAACTAGTTTATTTCTGACTTAAGTCACAATCTTTGAAGTTGAGATTTTAAAATATGTAAAGTTACATTTTTAAGACACATGACACATTGATAGGTATCATTGATTAAAAAAAACTCAATAGGAAGTAATTTAAAGTAGTGATACCAAATACATCTATAAAATTTTTAGATTGACAAGCAGTTGAAAGTTACAGTTAATCTCTTTGTGTGTGTATATATGTATTACAGTTTTGCTTTTGCCATTAGCAGATATTTTCTTTCTCAGGTGAAACAATTGAAGTCAAACATGACCAGACCTGTTTCTTTTAGCTTCCCTTGGCCAAATCTCATCTGTTTATGTGCTTTAGCTAAATGGAATCATTTTGCAATCATAATGAATTACTAATGGGCTATATTCTGGTTGTTTCACTGAGTATAGACCTGCCTTAATTAAGACAGGCTTGCATTCTTGTTTTAGTCTCATGTCTGTGCTAAATAAACAAGGGACAAATAAGACCTCTGTCTTTTTGGTTGGGAAATAATTTAGGTCAATAGCCTATCTTTCAATTCAGGAGACTGTTAATGGCACCAAAGAGGCTTTTACTCAACTAAATAATCACTGCCTGTAAATAGTCTGTTGAATGAATATTTAAGAACGCTGCTTCTCTATTTGGAGAGTCATGGATTCCTCTGAAATAATTTGCTTGGCAACTGTCAGTATCTTTTTGTGTCTTGTGGTATCCTGTTCAATTTAGGATTCTTCTGGGATTTCAGTATTTTATTTTTCTTTTTAAAGTACTAGCTGGAAAAAAAAAGTACTAGCTTGAAAATAGAACACATATTGATAATAACTGCTGTCAGATAAATGGTTTTAGATTATGGATTAGTTCTTTTTTGGGCATTGCTTTATATTTAAGTGTAGGAATCTGATAACGATTTGATTTATAATTGGGTTTTGGCATAAAATTATGTTAGGATTGTGATTTCACTTCTTGCTTTCTTAAACACAATTCAGCTTCTCAGAAATTCTATTATCTCTTATCTATTAGGAAAGCTCAAAGTTTCAGGTTTTGAACTGTTTCCTCCCTATGAATATCTGCATGTTTACATATAACTGCTTCTTTGTCTTCATGTTATATTATCTGATCTCATAATACAAATGCTAGGATGACCTAGAAAAGTAGAATCACAAGCAATCTATCTTCTTTGTAATTTTCAAGTATAATATAAAACAATATTAAAAACCTTAAAATCATAATATAAAATATTCCAGTTTTCAACCTGCAGTTCATAATGCATGACTTTGAATGCAACATTTATATTCTAAGATGCCTTATTTCATTCTTAATATTATATCTGTTATAACGAGGAAAGAAAAACATTGGAAAAAAATTCAGTTTTCTATTGCTAATTTTTTTGAGTGGCTTTGGGCTGGTAAAATATCTGATGCCTGGTTACACTTAATTTTACATTACTTGAGATTTAGATTATATTATATAAGCCCATTACAGTACATTTAAAAACAACCCCTCAAACAGTTAATACTCTTTTATTTGGGAATCCTTATCCTG